GTTCTGATTCTTAGCAATCCCCCGGCCCAGGCTGGTTCTGATTCTAAGTAATCCACTGGTGGCCTTTGTCAAGTAGGTAAGCTGCATGTTCTCCGGGCTTCATGGTTTTGATCTACAAAATCAGAGGCTGGAAATAGGGTCCTTGTGCCCGGAGGACTCATGTCCTGGAACTCTGAAGGAAATACATGTGTGAAGGGAGTGGGGTAGGAGGAAGAGCCAGTTAGACCCTCCTGACCTTCCAGCCTGGGACAACCACAGTGCTCATCAAAATGTAAAACAACAACAACAACAACAACAAAAAAAAAAAACCAACCCAGATGCCCCTCAGTAGATGAATGGATCAAAAAAATGTGGTATATATACACAATGGAATTCTATGCCTCCATCAGAAAGAATGACATTGCCCCATTTGTTAGGAAATGGAAAGACTTGGAAAAAATTATATTAAGTGAAGTAAGCCAAGCCCAAAAAAACATAGGTCCCATGGTTTCCCTTATTTGCAATATGTAGTATATGTATGAGTCAAGCAGAAAAGGTCAGATGTTAGGAAAATGAACCCTTGGGCTGCGAAGTTGGCTGAGTGGTAGAGTGCTTGTCTTGCATGCCTGAGGCCCTGGGTTTGATTCCTCAGCACCACATAAGCAAAAAGAAAGAAGCCGGAAGTGGCGCTGTGGCTCAAGTGGTAGAGCAATAGCCTTGAGCTGAAGAGCTGAGGGACAGTGCCCAGGCCCAGAGTTCAGGCCCCACGACCAGACCCAAAAAATGAAAAAAAGAAAACAAAAAGAAAATGAACCCTAAGATATGTATTCAAATGTTTTTTTTTCTTTCATGCATTTGTTTCTAACACATTTATAAGATTATTTCTTTGTTGCTTTGTATGTCCCCCCCCCCCCCCCCCCCCCAGTATAACCCCTGCTTTCACTGTATTTGATGTCGGTATAATTTGTGGAGGGGAAGGGGAAAAACAAGTCATTTAAATAAGGATACAGGTGGACCGGTTGCAACAATGAGAAGTACAAGTTGTCATGTCGAAAACGAACTTTACAACTTTGGGGGGAGCGGGGAGGATTGGGGGGGGGACGGGGGGAGGCTGGGAAGGGGAAACAAAGGAGGAGGCTACAATGCTTGATAAGAAATGTACTTATTATCTTGCTCATGTAATTGTAACCCCTCTGTACAGTATTTTCACAATAAAAAATAAATAAAAATTAAAAAAAAAAAACAACCCTTTAGGCTACGGACAAAAACAAAAACAAAAACAAAAAACCCCAAAACCCAAAACAAAAACCCCCTCAAAATCAGAAAAACCAGCTCAGGCCTGAAGGTATCAGGGACAGAAAACGATATCATCTTGGTTCTGGGCCTCTGGGAAAACAGCGGTCATCGTCACCACAGAGAGCTGAGGCTTCCAGCCCTGGCTCGGCAGAAGCAGACGCAGCACTGGACCACGTGCGGAGAGCAGGAACATAATGGCTCAAGGTGCTTGGGAATGTCCTCAGAGCATGTGACATTTACCCTGTTCCCTTCCCAGCCGCGGAAAGTGGTGACGGGGGGACAAGGATGGGAGAGGGAGAAGGGGGATGGACACCAAGACCTGGCCAGTCCCTACAAGTAGCCTTAACACATTTGGTGAACCAGAAGCACAGCCCTGCACCAAGCTTCTGAATGGCTGGCTCCCTCCATCCGTTTTTGCAGTGGAGTCACTGCGCTATGTACACACTGGGGCTTCACAGACTAAACAAGTTTTCAATCTCCTTCCCCAAGTTCCAGGTGATCTGATGTATAGAGTTGGTTCAGTGTGGAGCCTGGGAGCTACCCTAATTCCCTCCCCTCTTCCTCCAGGTCCCTCTTGCTTCTGTGTTACCTTGGGTGTCAATTACTCAAATCTACCTACATGGGGCCCATTTCATATTTCATATCTGAAGACCGACCTGTCCTCTTGGTGAAGCTGAACACCTGCCTTCACAGGGGACAGTCTTGTCCCATGGCAACCTGGTGACAATGGTGGTGGGGAAGTCCTCAGAGAGGACTTCCACCTGCCAGGGCCTGTTCTGTTCTCAGCACTATGCACATATTTCTAATCACACAATCCTCACAACTCTGGTAGGCCGGGACTACCACCTGTTCCCATATTTTAAAAGTGAGGCCCAAGCTGGGCACCACTGGCTCACCCCTATAATACCAGCTACTCAGGAGGCTGAGATCTGAGGAATGCAGTTCAAAGCCAGCTCAGAGAAGTCTACAAGACTCTTATGTCTAACTACCAAAGCTGGAAGTGGAGCTGTGGCTCAAGTGGTAGAGTGCTAGTTTTGAGCAAAGAAAGCTCAGGGAAAGCATCCACACCCTGAATTCAAGCCCCAGAACTGGCACACATACGTATACAAAAGTGAGACCCAGAGAAGTTGCGACTTGTCCAGGGTTATTCAGTAGGTAAGTAGTTGACTGGAATTAAAATCCAGAGGGTATGATTCTAAAGTCTGGCTTTATCCACTACAGAGCCACCTCTGCCAATAAATTCAAACAGGAGAGACACTCAGTCATCTGGTTATACTGCAATGGCCACAGTTCCCTGAGAGGTGTTACCTTTGTAGACTACATGACAGCTAGTGGACCAGGGAGGCCACGAATACGTGGGTTGGGCTTGCTTATCAGTTGATATGATTTTTGCAGGGGGTCAGATACACAAGCTACTTTGGGCACTGATAGTACATATTTGTAATCCTATTTCCTGGAGAGCCTGAGATCTGGAGGACTGAGGCTCAAGGGCAACACAGACACACTCACAAGACCTCTTCAGAAACTAGTCATTGGATGCAGTGTGCACATCCATCGTCCAAATCACAATGGGAAACATAAAATAGGAGGCTCGAAGTCAAGGCAAAGGCCTGGGCAAAAAGTGAGACTTCTAGAAATAACCAGTGCAAAAGAGCTGAAGGCACGGCTCCATAGTAGAGCACCTTCCTAGTAAGCATAAGCCCCTGAGTTCAAACCCCAGTACTGCCGAAAATAAAATAGTAAAGAAAGGAAAATATACGCAGACTAGGGGTCATGCCTCTGGGTGGGAAGCAGCAGACGAGAATGGCAGGGAGCACCACAGACCACATCTGATAGCCCTGCCCTGGCTAGAAGCTGCCATGAGCTGCTGTCCTGCCCTTTCTCAGAACTTCTGAATATTTGAAACACTCCAAGACACAACCAGGCACACACAAGCCCCTGCAGGTCTGAAACTGGCTGGCAAAACTTACACAGGGGAGATGGAATTTAGCTCTGTGTTGTCACATGCCAGGATATTGGCTGTGCTCCTAGGCCTGAACTTTCACCATCTCTCCTCCTCCTGGCTGGCCACTGGCTCAGTCCTCATCTCAGCTGTTGTTTTCTGTCTGGGGCTTGCTCCTTCGCTCCCATGTGGCTGTGCTTTGAGGCCTGGCCAGGCAGGAATGGTGAACACTGAACTGCGTTGGAGCAATCCAGACACCATGTGAGCAGGTCAGCTATGAAGAGAGCCGTCAGCACCAACCTTTGCTTGGCAGAGCTGAAAGCTGTGCTCCCAAGATAGCCTGATGTCATCCCATCCAGATGGGATGGAAATCAAGGGAGCCGGAGGGTCTAACCTCTCTCTCTCTCCCACCTGGAGCCCCACCATCAGCCCTAGAGGCTTTGACTCTCCAGATGGCCAACAGCTGGTCTGGCAGAGTGCCTGCCAGATGTGCTCTGCAGGCTGGCAGCTGGCTCCCCTGGGCAGGGTCACCAATTCGGAGCAGGCCAGGGGCTGGCGCCAAAGGGAAGAATGTGTTTGGCTGGCCTGGGGTGGGGGGGCTTTGTGCCCAAATAGTCCTCCCTCTCCTCTCCTATCTGACATTCCTTCCCTCCTCTCCTCAATGGGGTGGTGTTTTCATAACAGGAAAATAAAATCAATAAGGCACTGCAGCACGATGTCAGTGTGCCGAGAGCCAGCCTCCAATAGCTCCATTGTCTCGGGCCTCCGCCGGGCTCTGTGGCCAGCAGCACTCTCAGTTATTAATGGGAAGCAGGGCTGAAAGGGAGTTTTGAAAATCACAAAGGCGCAGCACACCTGGAGTGCGCCATCCTCCACCACAGCCACTTCACAATGGCCGGCCCAGGACTTCCCACCTTTTAATTTTTCCTGCAACTTTTATGAAAGCAAGAAAAGAAAAGCACACACTCTCTCACACACACTCACACATGCCTGCATTCATGCACACATGCAGGCCCTGAGAGGGTTCCTGGGAGGAGACTCTGAATGGCTGACAGAGGCAAAGACAGCCTGTGGAGCCCCCTGCATGGCCGAATGGCAGGATGGGATGAATGGGTTTCCTGCCTTGGCCACCAGCCATCCCTCTGGGGCTGAGGCTGCCTGAGGGGCTCTGAGCAGCGAGCACGAGGCGAACCAGCTCAGCTTGAAACTCTGCAAGAGCCATGACGACACTCATTTCCACATTCTGTTTAATACACAGACTGGCTTCTGCTAGTATTCTGGAGGCTGGAGCTGCTTCTTCCAGAAGAGATGGAGTGAGTGAATGCCCTGAAGGCAATTTCTAGGGCTAGTCTTGGGTCCTTGGAGCAGCAACTAAAACCACAGTATGCCTCAGGAGCCTTACCCATAAGACACACTTTCCGTTAGGCTTGGAGGAGACCAAGGACATGAGGAAACTCACCGTTGCGGCGAACCCCACACACTGATGCCTCTGAGGACCTTTGAAAGTCTCAGGGAACTTTTGTTGCCAAACTGGGCACACTCTTATTTCACTCATTCAATAGCATGTAATTGGCATGTCACCAATTAAATACCCTGCGAGTGAGACGAGGACAGAGACTTTGTGGATCAAGTCCATGGTACCTTCTGGAAAGGTTGTGGTCCACTCCAGGGAGGCCATGACTCTGGGGGAAACACAGTGGAGAAGGTATTGGCCTGGTCCTACAGGAAGGCAGGACCCTCCCTCTGCACACCTCATGTCCAGATGGGACACCAAAAGTCTTACCTTGGTGGTGACCGCGGATGCAGAGCTGGCCACGAGGCTGGTGATAGCCTCGCTGCTGCCGGTGGTGCATGGTGCAGGGGCTGTAGCCGGTGTGGGCAGCCGGGAGGGCACCACGGGCAGTGGCAGGAGGCCCGGCCGAGCACTGAGGCTGCTGGCTGTGCCACCCCCGGCTCCTGAGGTGACACTGCAGATGCTGGTGGTCCCATGGGTCCCATTGACACTCCACTCACGACGGTCCCAGCCCACCCGGTAATCTCTTTCAAAGCGACTGTGATGCCGGGACATCTCGGTGGGCCGAGGCAGCTTCTCACAGGGAAACAGAGCCCGGACCTGCTGGCATAGAGCAGAGAGAATAGAGGTTTAGATAACAGCAGCCCTGCTAGGGTGCAGGAAGGTACCTACCACTAACCGCCACCATCTCTCCAAACCCCCCTGCTCTGGGTTCCATAATGGGCTTTCAAATACAAGTTCCTTTCAGGATCAGAGCAAGCCTGTAAGCCTGGCTCATTTATCAGCTCCACTTCACAGATAAGGAAGAAATGATCTGCTCAGGATCATGTGGCAGAAAGTGTAGGAGGCAGGATTTGAGCCCAGTTTAGTGGGTTTTGTTCTGCCAAAGACAACCATCTCAGTTATGGTAAATGACAGCCATCTAAATGATGGTTCATGCCTGTCTCCTCCCATCCCCACTGTGAAAAAATATTCCGTGGACCCCTCTGGCCATGCTTTCTCCAACCATGGGTTACATGACTCAGGAGACCCCTGTAAAATAGACACAGCCTTGACAGACATCTCATTTGCTCCTTCTAGTACTTGTGATGTGGCGTGGCACAGACAGTTCCCTGTTTGTGTTCAAGGGAATTCACCAAGAATAAGGTGATCCCCAAGGATGGGAAATAGTCAGAACAAGGCGAGGATGTCTTGCCTCCAGACCCTAGCCTCTGAAAGCTGCCAGCTTCTAGGAATTGAATTCTTCCTCATAACCTCAACCCAACTAGTATTCCATCTTGGGCACCAGAATCTGTATACCCTGGCCTCTGTTTCCCAGGCCATCTTTCAAATGGCCTTCCTAGTATCTGAACAGAAGGCCCTGCAGGGTTGTCATGGAGACCTAGACACACCATGGTATTGGAAGGGCCTTCTGAGTCACCGAAGATTGCATCTTGCTCTCAGCACCACCACGATGTGGCTGGCTCCTCTCCAGGCAGGGCGTGGCTACCCAAGTCAGGAAAGAGGGAAAGGCAGGAAGAAGAGGCTGTTTTTGTTGCAGAAAGGACGGAGAGGTTGTAGCTTAGGTACCATGTGGCTCCATTCTATTCTCAATCACTTTCAGTCTAGGGTTTTAAAGTATATACATAAAGCCAGACTCTCCTTCAATCTTTTCAACTCACCAGTTGTCTACTACTACTGTCATGGAGTAAAAGCCTTGACCACCCAAGCAAAAGGCTACCATGCTCTGCTTGTGGCTGGCCTGGCTCTGGCTGCCTCCTCTGCCAGGTGCATGAAGCAGACCTGAGTCCAACTTGAAGCCTGAAGCTGAGCCCACAGCCCACCTGAGGTAGAGATGAGCCTCACCCTCAAAGCTGGATGTGGGCTCGCTGTGTTCACTGTTAGGCTTCCTGGCTTCACAGAACTTCTTGTAAAAATGTCTTGTCAATATCACATGGTTAAAAAGTGAAAATCTGTTTCTCCCCTCCCCCCATGCCCTGCCAATACCCTTCATACACTTTTTCCTCTAGTCTGCTCTGGAATCTGCATAGCCCTGACTGCACCACACTGGGGCACTTGCTCTGAGGTCATGGGCGATGCATTTGTTAAATCCAATGTACGCTCATGCCCCATGTCCCACTTGGCTTCCCTTACATGCTGTGGTTGATCTCTTGCTTCTTGGAGCCCATCTCTATGGCCACTGTGACACACTGCTTATGCCCAGCCTTTAAAGCTGGAGCTCCCTGGTGCTCCACGATTTCCCCTTCTTCTCACTCTCTAAGGGACCTCATCCAATACCTACCTCTTAACATTTCCGGTTAACATTTCCCCACCATCCTACAGCCTGCTCTACACCGTCACCTGGCTGTTCCGCAGGTACTGAAGTGCCACATGTCCCTAAATGAACTTCTTGTTCTTTTGCCCAAATGCACATCCTTAGGAATTCTCTGCCTCAGAGATGGCTGCTGTTTCCCATCTCTGCTTCTATATTCGACAGCAGAGTCTTAGACCATATTGCTCAAGTGGCTCTCAAACCCACCTCTGTCTACACGGCTACTTCCTTCTTTCATTGTCTTCCCATCAACTACTTTGACTCCTCTTCCTGCCTTTATTCTTGCCCTTCTTGTTCACTCTCCACCTGCCACTTATTTGTTTTGTTTTGTTTTTAAAGCACAAATCTGATCGTGGTAGTTGGTTAAAATTCCATTCTTCATGATAAAGTCCTAACTCATCCCAGTGGCCCAGAAGCCCTGGAGGGACTGGGCCGGCTCGTGCTTCTAGCTTTCCCCTCTCACTCACCACATCCCAGAGGCGACACTCACTCACTCCAAACACTCATAGATTCTGAAGGCCTCATGGCCTCTCAATTCAGGGCCCACACTAACATTACTCCTTTGGTAGGAATGGCTTTTGACACTCTCACTAGCTAAGACCTATCTTCTATGAGCTGGCATTGTACTACCTCTTTCTGGACATGTCTGGCAGGATATCCAAAGCCCACCTCTCAGTGGCCAGCACCCATAGTTATCATATGTCTGCCATCTCAAGACAAAGGTCCAAGTCCTTGTTATCTTGGCAACCCCAGCATGCAGCCTAGAGTCATGTAAGGAATTTTAGTATATTTGTATTTCTTAATTGTTGGACATTTCTAGAAAGAACAAACACATTAGGACATAAGACAACTGAATCCTTGAGTTTTCTTTTTCCTTTTTTTTTTGTTGTTGTTGCTCATGGGGCTTGGACTGTTGAACTCAGGGCCTTGGCACTGTCCCTGAGCTTTTGGACTTAGGGCTAGCACTCTACCACTTTGAGCCACAGCACCACTTTCAGTTTTCTAGTGGTTAATCAGAGATAAAGAGTTTCACGGGCCTTCCTGCCCAGGCTGGCTTTGAACCATGATCCTCAGATCTTATCCTCTTGAGTAGTTAGGATTACAGTCACTGGCTAATCCTTGAGAGTTCTGACTGGCAATTCTTTGGAGGCACTGAAAGAAGATGACCTAACTTCCAAGCTGGATGGACTTCAGCCTCTAAGGAAAGCTATCGGAATATCTGCATGGTGAACTGGACCTTGTAGCTCAGGGTCTGGTCTCTCAGGATTCTTGCTAATGGTCACTGCCTCAGGGCACTTCTTCCCTAGGCTGACTCCAATGTGGACAAAGACTATGCTATATATTCTCCACACTGCGTTCTCTTTCCTACCACCCAGGATCATCTCTCCCAGCTATCTCCCAGACAAGGGTCTGGCAGATAGAAAGTAGGGAGGTGATGGAGATGGCTTCTAGATCTATTAAGAAGGAGCAGAAACAGAAATGGAGAGGGAAGATGGGGACGGGAGTAAGAAAGAAATGGGGGGGGGGTGACTATGTCATGGAAATGTCATGACAAAATCCTTTACTGTGTACAAATCAGTATGCACCAATGAAAAACATAAATGAAACAGAAACATCCTCTATGACCCTGTAGTTTGCTTCACAACCTTGACAACCGTGGAGATCACGTGTTCCAGAGGGTGCAGCTGCCCCTGGAAAAGGCTGCCTCAACTGTGTCAAGATTCGGGAGATTAGAATTTAAATCTTTATTGTGCTAAGGCACTGTGGTGGCTAGACAACTTGTTACCACAGTGTAACCTAGCCTTGCCTGACTGATACATTCAATCAGTTCCTATATCCAACAAAGCAACACAGCCTCATGTATTCTCAGAGAAATCATCTCTTCCCAGCTGACCTGAGATGACCAATGCCTGCGTAATATAAGACGTGCCTAAAGCTAGCAGAACAGCTTGGGACCAGACTAAATAAAGCCTCCCATGCCAATACAGCCTCTCAGCTGACTGCCTTGGGGATCCCCTACTGAGCCCCTTGAATCTCCATCTTACAGTTCCAGAAAGAAAAGCCTGCCCCTCAAACCTGCCATCTTTAAACTACTGCCATCTCTCCCAGCCTCCTTGTAAAGCGAGAGAGGAGGTGGAGACTCAGGCAGCTGGAGGCCACACAATCTGGTTTCAGTCTCATTAAGTGTATTCAAAACAAAGGTCAACTATTTGCATGCAAGCATTCGGGTCAGACCTCATTCCTCAGTTTAATTTTCCCTTTTAGACGAATGAAAGAAATGTGTCACACAGTTTACTCTGAGCGAGACGGCAATGTGCCAGCTCCTGAGGTGGCAACTTAAGTATTTCCTGCTGGGCTCAGAGCCAGTGTGTCACAGAGGCCCCGTGTGCACACACGTGTGCCTGAGTGGCGCTGCAGGAGACACAAGAAGTGCACGTGCAGCGGAAGGAGGGCCTGAATGGACGAGGTGTCAGCAGTCCAGACTGGTCAAACAATTACAGACAAAACATAGAAAAATGCTTCCTTATTGTGGGAGCGCCCTTTCCTGGCAGGCTGCCCGTGAACTGGCAGAACCTGGCACGAGGCCCTGTACCACGAAGGGAGGGAATGAGCAGCAGTCATTCCTCGGTATGGAGGGACAGTTACTGAGAATTCAGGCTTCTTGTCCGACAGGGGAGTTTCTTGCCAGGACCTGTATGGATGCCACCCCACGTGACGATTAAAGCTCAGGAGTCTAGGAATCTTAGATTGGGAGGGGGGATGGTGGTGGAGGCAGGTCATGCTGAGGTCTGTTTGTTGAACTGTCCAGAGGATGCTGGAGTAGAAGAGAGGTGGGAAAAGGACTGGACCTTTGTCCGTGCTTGTTTGCATACTCTTCCATGACCTCATCTATGTAACCTTTATGAGGGCCCTTGTGGCTACTTCTCAGTGCCTGGTCCAATTCCAGAGCTGTTAGAGCTCCAATTCCGCCCACAGCTTGGTCAGTCCAAACCTTGGATTTTCCATTCCCTTCTCTTTGGATACACCTCAACTTCTCCAGGGGTGGTGAAGGAAGCAGGAGGACTTTTGGCACAAATGGGACACACAGGAAGAATCGGATTCACACCCACCAAGATATGATCTGATAGGCCAAAGGCTGCTCTAATGAATGTCTAGTCATTGGTAGAACTACAACTCAGGCTTGAGTTCCAAACTGCTATGGTGACCTTAATATATACAGGCATACCTCAAACCTGAGGACAAAGCTCCTAGTATCCCAAAACACAGCAATGGTATCCTGACTAGTTTT